GATATTCGAGCTGGCTCGGACTATGCAAATCGTAGTATTGGATTGTGACACGATTAACCACCCATCACAGTTGACGAAGACATCGTTGGCTCCAATCATTGTGTATATAAAAGTAACCTCGCCGAAAGTGCTTCAGCGCCTTATCAAGTCCCGGGGCAAATGTCAGGCTCGGAGCATGAACGTCCAGATGGTAGCGGCGGAAAAATTGGCGCAAAGTCCTCCGGAAATGTTCGACGTGATCCTGGATGAGGTTAGGCTTACAAATCTATCTGTACTGTCATTGCTGTGACCATTGCCATTTTTCAGAACCAATTGGACGATGCCTGCGAACACTTGGCCGAATATCTGGAGGCGTACTGGAGAGCATCTCATCCACCAGTAAAAAGCCCCTCTCAAATGAGGAAGCATCGCCAACAAACACCCAGTACCCAAGTGAGGGCGTTTTCTCAATCGCCACCAATCGGGAGGAACGGTGCTGTCATACAGGCTGATAGGTTTACAGATATTTGAAACTTTGATGACGCCGTTGTTATATATGAAATATTTATTTTTGTACTTATTTATTTTATCAGATAAAAGCAATACAACAAAAAATTGACATAACGTGCCGTAAATGACTGAAGGTAATTGAAAAATAAGCCTCGATAATTAATAAACAAGTCTTAAGCAAAAACCTGACCACAACGTGTCACAGAATAGAACAAAATATGTCCTTATTCAATAGAAGCTGCAAATATTACCTAAAAATCAATATTTCTTCACCTTATGCCTCACAAAATCTGATAAGTGCGAAGCATAGAAGCTACCTACCGGAACCCAGGCGATCAACAGATTTAAAGCTCCATTTAAAGTGGTATTGTACCGGATTATATACTCCTTTCTAAACGTTATGTTCCCAAAGACAGCGAATGTGACATTATGTGCCAAAAAGTGGTGCCGTCATTACAATAATGGGTGATGGATGGCACGCCTCAACCAAAACCAGCGTATCACATCCGGATTATGAATGAAACGGGTGGGCAACGTACCGGATGGCATATACATACAATCGAGGGCGGGTTGCTTGAGACGAGTGACAGATTCCAGTGGTTCGTTGTCTAGTCCCAAATGATATGACTGGTACACGACAATAACTAGTGATCAAATCATCTGCATGCTCGACAACACTGTTCCGCAATGACGGAGCCACGCCTGAAAAGCGCTGGTAGGGAGAGATGGTTGGCTTTAGCTTTAGGGGACGATGAAGATCAGTGTGGTGCTGAAACGAGAGACAATGATCCTGAATTTGTGCAGATCGTGCGTGTAGTATTAGAAAACAAAGTTGTTTGTTTCGGTAGCGATATATCTAATTTTCATATAGTGAAAAACCTACAAGCGGATAGCACAATGA